CTCGTCACGTGTCTGTTGGAGCTGAGTCACATTCACGTCGACGACGAGCCATGCCACGTCCACGCCCACGTCAGGCCGAGCCCCTGTTCACGTCCGGCTGTCCCATGTCCCCCGTTACGTTGAGCTCCGTCCACGTCAGGCCACGCCCAGCGAAAGGATTGCCGTCGCTTTTGTTCCTGTTCCCTGGCGAGGCGAAGGATCGCCGTCGCTTTTGTTCCTGTTCTCCGGCGAGGCGAAGGTCGCCGTCGCTTTTGTTCTTGTTCTCCGGCGAGGTGGAGGTCGCCGTCGCTTTTAGTTCCCCTTCCCTGGTGAGGCAAGCCTTCTGGACAACTTTGGGGCGTCTGGGATCCGTCCCTTGAGGGAGGGGTACTGTCATGATTCGGTTTGGGACCAACAGGTGGCATTGTAGGGCTGCAGCTGCACACCTGTTGGTCATTAGGTAATTCGTGCTTTAAAAGGACTCCCAGCCCGATCACTCATTGTCGGGTCATTGTTGCTGTTTGTTGCGCTTTGCAACTGTCATGTTTGTTTGTCTGCTGCTGTCAGGTTTGTTTTGGTCACAGTTCTGTTCGAGCTTCAGTTATGTGTTTTGTTTGATACTTTGGACTATGTTTGTTTTGGATTTGGTTTTCTCTGTTTCAATACATTTCTTCAAGTACAACCTGCTCCTCCCTCTTGCCTGCTTTTTGGGGTCCACCTCGCAACGTGACACCTGCTTCCCTGCTTTTTGGGGTCCTCTAGCCTCATGCCAAGTCATGACATAACGAACAATAAAATAGTGTAAATCACAGTTTGCAGGATTTTTTTTCACAGTGTACATTCTTTATTTCAAGAGTCGAAAATCACAATAAGGGATAAATTCCTCTACACATTCGACTGTGAAATATAGTTTTGAATGATGGTGCAAACATTTTTGAAATTATGTTCTTACGCATTCCTGTTTTTAAAATGCAGGTACATGAAATTCGCAGTATTCTACCTTGATAGACAAGGACTGACAGGATACTGTATAAATATTGTGGTAATGTGAAAACAGTGAATATGAAAGGGAGAAATCTACATACAGAATTTGAAGATCGGTTTTTTTTTTGTTTTTTTTTTCAAATTAAGTTTCACCAATAGATGTCGCTCGTGGCCCTATGAACCTCTCGAAAATCTCGGCATCGTCGTTTGCATATTAAACAACTTTGTCTCGTAACATTCCATTTAATGTTCAGTAAGTAATAAATTTGCGGGTCACAGCTTTTCCACAACAGTGTTTTGGGTTGTTTTTGGCAAGCTTGTATAATGCAATCACCACTCGCATTTCTTGAGGAACAGCAGGGTTTTTTGTTTGTTTTTTTTCAGGCTGGACAAAGGCCGACCCTGAGACCAAGAGTTTTACATTGTGTATTTGGAAATAAATCGAACGATTGGCGAAACCGTGTCAACAAGTTGTTTGTGATAATCGCATTACTGAAGTGCATGTAAACGCATCATCTAAACATGGCTGTCACAAAATAAACAATTATTTCAAACATTGTCTTACCTGGAAGCAGGGGCGTCACTAGGTTTCAAGAACAAGGGGGGCTTAGCCCCAAGGGGAACACAGCCCCTTTTAGGGGGATCCGGGGGAATGCCCCCCCGGGAGAATTTTTTTCTACATTCTGTTAAAAATCCATCAATTCCGTGCACTTTGAGAGCAAAATGAAGAGGCTATGAAGAACTACACACATCACATTAGTATCCTCTTTACTATGATGGGGCTTCCTCCCCTGGACTTTAACTGGACTAGATAATAGAAATTATAAAGAGTTCAAAAGTTCAATCTTGGTTGTTCAAGGAAATTAGAAGGATGCCCGATAACATAACCTATATGACAGTAGGCCTATATTCATTCCTCTCTACCAAAATGTATTAATATATGCTTAGCCCCCAGAAGACTATGTATTTTGAGATGTCTGCCGTGATATGCAATTTAAGTTAGTACAATGAGATGCAAA